GTGAAAATCCTAAGCGTTCAATTGATTTTTGCCCTCCCTGGTTGATTCACAAACTTCCACCAACCTCGTACTGCTTGCACTCCATACCATAGATACGGTCCACTCATGATGGCTACTAACCATAGCAAACAAAGTCCCAAGTTTATACCCACGTATAGAGCCAATTGTGGAGAAATATGATAGAGGAGGTTAACAAAAACACACAAGCCAAAGATGTGACTGACGAGTCCACAAGCGTAGCCTCCTTCACAGAAATTCACATCCGTAATTCCCGAAACCCAACATATGCAACTAATTAGGCTGAAAAGGATATAGAATGGAACGAAAAGTGGCAAAAGTCCAGAACTTCCTAAGTCAAGGGGAACAACCTTGTGTGTTCTCATGTAAAACATAGCTTCAATGTTGAGGATCATAATGATGCTACTCATCGCAAGATCCAATCGTAGGTTCTTGTTCATCCTGCAACCAAAACCATTATAAGAGGGGATTAGTTTCAATTTATTGAATCAATTACATAATATATATACATATAGTAATGGAAAACAAAAAAAAAAAGAGTGAAAAATTATATATTGATATGGAGTCTCACCACCATGCACGGAGGAGGGTAGGCTTAGTAGCAGCAACGTTAGTATTTGTCATGGTTTCTTCGATTATTATTTGATTAGTTGTTAATGGTGTGGAAGAAAGCTCTCTAATGATGCGTAGATAATAAGTTATGCCCTAATCCTCTCTATATATATAGTCAAGTAAGTTGAGGTTCAAAAAAAAAAAAAAGTAAGTCCCATTCAAAGCTTGATTAAGATTTTTTGTTAATAAAAAGATCTTGAGTCCTTATCCAAACCTAATTAAGTGGGATTAATATAAAAAAAAAAGAAATCTTGCATCGCTTCAACGAAAAACATACTCAAAATACAATTGTAATAAATGCTCATGAATGTGCCTATAGCTCTGTATTACGACATGCTCAAACATTCTCCAAAAACATACTCAAAAACAATACAATATGGAACACGAATCTTGTAAAATTCATCACCACCATAGACCAGCTTTGTCTTTGAACATGAATCCATCTTCTACAGTCCACTCCTCTAGGTTCTCAAACCCTGATGCCTTCTTCGTCAAGTCATTCATTGTCATACAACGTTGCAGGCAAGAAACAACATTCTTCGACTTCTCAAATATGATACATGAAGATAAGTAGATAACCTATTACATGTTTTTTTTGGGTTTTCACTTCGTTGCAAATTAGGATATAGGACTTACTGGTTTCTCTTCTGACGAAGAACCTGCGCCGCCTCGGATATTGATGGCATTGTCCAAAAGACCCGAACTTCATGTTTACGAAAACACTCAAGCCAAAGATGTGACTGATGCCTCCCAAGACGTAGGCTCCTTCCCATACTGACACCTCCGTAATTCCCAAAGCCCATAATATGCAACTAGATAGGCCTAAACAGATATACAATAAAACGAAAAACAAAATTCCAGAATCATCTATGTCAAAGGGAACCTTTTGTGTTCTCCTACGAACGATCGCTCCAATGTTGAGGATCATAATGATGCTACTCATCGCAACATCGAATCGTAGGTTCTTATTCATCCTGCAACCAAAACCATTATAGGAGGATTAGTCTCAATTTTATAGAATCAATTACATAATATAGTAATGGAAAAAAGAGTGAGAAAAATCATTGATATGGAGTCTTACCACCATGCACGGAGTAGGCTAGGGTTAGTAGTAGCAGTACTACAAACTCCTAGGCTTTCGATTGAACTTTGACTTATTGGATAACCCCCTGGTTGATTCACAAACTCCCACCAATCTTGTACTTCTTGCACGCAAGACGATAGACACGGTCCCATCATGACGGCGACAAACGGTAGCATACAAAGTCCGAAGATCAAACCGACGTATAGAGCCGATTGAGAAGAAATAAAAGAGAGGAGGTGTATGAAAACAACGAAGCCAGTGATGTGACCGGTGAGTCCACAGACGTAGGCTCCTTGACAATCTTTCACCTCCGTAATTGCCGAAACCCAAAACAAGCAACTTAATAGGTCGCCAACAATATACGAAAAAGTGAAAAGTGGCAAAAGCGGTGCATGATCTATGTCAACAGAAATCTTCTGTGTTTTAATATAAAAGATCGCTTTAATGTTGAGGATCATAATGATGCTACCCATCGCAATATTGAATCGTAGGTTCTTGTTCATCCTGTAACCAAACCATTATATGAGGATTAGTTTCAGTTTTTTATTGAATCAATTACATAATATAGTAATGGAAAAAAACAAAAAACAAAAAACACATTGATATGGAGTCTCTCACCACCATGCACTGAGGAGGCTAATGTTAGTAGCAGCAACATTAGTATTTGTCATGGTTTCTTCGATTATATTTGATTTGTTGTTTAATGATGCGGACGAAATTAGCTCTCTAATCATGCCTCTATATATATAGGTCTCTCTCTTGATTCCTTGTCCAAACCTAAGTGAGATTCTTCACCAAAAAAGAAAATTTGCATCTTGATTCAACGACAAAAAAAAACTTTTATCTGTTCGTAATTGAAATTATTATTAGGACAAATATTTTTTATTTTATTTATTATTAAGATAAATGTTTGTTA